TATAAAGAATATTAGCCATTTGGTATCAGTTAACTTAGATTGTTCTTATTATATTTAACTAATAATTCCTTCTTTTTTCAACATAATTAATTTGTACCAGTTGGGAACAAGGTCCTATATATTTGTTTGTATGTCTAGGATTAGAGTAGTTGTGGGTGAGTATTTGTAATTCTAAAACTGTTTTTTGAGTGTTTAATGTTTCTCTTTTTCAAGTCATTCTGAAAATAAAAGTACAGCCAGAAGGAATGACATTTTTTTTTTAAAAAAAGACTGAAACCGATAAGCATGTATTTTTCAGTATATAAATTTTGCACAAGATAGAATTGTAATTATCAGATGAAACCTAAAGATTTCTATATGCATATAAAATCAGAGAATTCCATGCCTTTTTTTCTGTTCAATTCACAATAGTTGGGTGAATTGTTAATTTGGTTTCTTTTCTAATTTGCTTTAGATTTCTATGGAAAGCCATTGCCACCACTTGCTATGCATCAAAGACCTAACAGCGATATGCATGGTGTCATTTCTTAACTAGTCATCATTTTGCAGCTTTCAAGAGGAATCTAAAATAACATTACATTAGACATTGCTTTCTTTTTTGAAGAGATACCTGCTATTCCTATAAGTTGCTGGGCAAGGCACCAAGATTACATTGGGATTCCTGGTAAGGATGTTACTTCTAAAGGTTAACAATTCTGCTTCCTTAATTTACCAGCTGCTCTTCAAAGTTGACATGGAACAAGAAAACTCACAAGCAGAATTCTTGCAAAAGAAATGACAACCAAACTCAACTTGGTTATGCATATACATGCTTTCAGTTTGGCTAAATACTTTTCTATATTCAACTCTTCGAGAGTTTTTTTAAAAGTACACACATGTTCAAAAGGGGAAGATGTGAATTATACATTTAAACATTTTGATATATTTTTATAGTATTTTATTTGTTTTTAAGAAATTATTTGGTCAGCAGAACTATTTTGACATACTAAAATGCCTACCTATATTCATAAGTATCTACTACATTTTTTTGGGAAAAGCAATATATTTGTGTGTGATTTGAATCACAGTTTGCCTAATTGTTAATTATGTTGTTTTATCTTGTTCTTGGTCCACCAGAAAGAAATATGTGTTGGAAGGAAACTATATTCATGTTTTCCTTGATGGGAAACAGCACTTCTGGCGTTCATTGTGACCATTAATTTTGTGTTCTTGCAGCTAGAGGGAAAGGGAACTTTTTGACTTTCCAAAGGATATAAATAAATATCCTTCAATTACTGTATAGAGTTTGATATTCATGGCCACTGCTCTTGCAGTACTTATTTCATTTTGGGAAGATGTGAACTTATGAATTGGAGAACTAGGGCTGTGGTTCCCTTTAAAGTAAGCAGAAGTAGAATTGAATTACATCTCCTTACACCAAATGTAACAAATGTATCTTCTCCCAGGCTTATGTGGCAAGCTTAGCTGTTTTAAAGAGTAGTAGGCAGATGCAAAGTTCATATTCCTGCACAATTCAAGCCACGTTTTTGGCTTTGAATTCAAATGACTCCATAATTTTTATTTCATTCATGCAAACATATTTCCCTATTAGGTTGGGGTTCCATATATGCTGAAATAAATGAAAATGTTTATATAAAAAAGGTATCTTTTTCCCCTGAATATTTATTATGGCTTCAGTTATTAATAATTGAAAATAACATTATTCCAACAGTGAACATTTCTAAAAATATGTAAATGCCTTTCTTTAAAAAAAAACATTACAGTCCAATTTTTACTTCCTTTTTCTTTATTGCATATTAGAGGTAAATGATCAGAATTTCCATATGATCAGAGGTTTTTCTGTATGCTCAGATAGTGAAGTAGTTGAATGGCTTACAAATAGCATAAAGCCTTAATACTAAACTGAAAAGTCTGTGAATATAATGAGGTTTGAAAATTCTTACCTTCTAGCAACATCGTATTCAAAAGCTACTGTTTCTTTGCAGTTTATCTTACTCAAAAGCTTATGTTTCTTTGCAGTTTAAATTAATGCTTTTATTCTGCTTGATGATAGTAATGGCCATGTCATGAAACTGATCGTTTGAATCCTTTCACACATGATCTGTATCTATCCTAAAGTCATATAAAAAAATAGTCTCATAAACTTAGTTGCATGCATACAAGCTGAATGAGCTTGTTCTTGTAAGATTACTTTCTGGCTAATGTAAAAGGTGGTGCATAATTCATGGTACATAATTGTTTCCATATATAGTTTCAATATTCCTGATTTTTTAGGCTATATACAAAAATGAAAGTTTGTTTTCCATTTCCCCCAAGAAGTTAAATGTTCTTTTCTTTTAGTTAACACTGAAAACTGTTAAGGATTGTCCTACTTTCTTGAAGCTCAAAAACTTTTTTTCCTCTCAAGGCTTATGCAATAGGACTTTCTCCTTATCCATGCTGTATTTTTCCCTACCTCCAGTCCTCAAAATCTGTTTCAAATAGAAGATTTTCTGTCTGGAGAAGATTTTGAGGGCAACTCGTGGTCAGGAATAATTATTTACCTTCTATTTTATCAGTGGAAATAGATTCAATAATGAAGCATATTCATGGGATTGTTGTTACAAGATGCATAAGTACTAGGAATGTGTTTTTAACATGCTGACTTTCCTTTTATTATGGATTATTTATTGAATATGCATTTAATGTTTTTATGTATGAAATAAAGATACACAGAAATGTGATTTAATATTTCATCATACAATTCACTTTATCTGGAACACAGCTTTTATTTTTTTTAAATTATCAGAAAAGGTTTTAAATTATCAGTTGAAGTTTTTCCCAAAACATTTGAGCACAAGATTGGATGGAGTAAGACTTTTGCTTCGGAAATTATTTTAAATAAATATTTTAACTCTTGTATGAGCACATTACTTCTCCATTGTTCATTAAACCAACCTTCTTCATTTGATCCTGGGGGAAAAAGCAGGGCTTTAAAGAGTTGACACTGTGAAAAGTTGCAGCAGCTTTAAGGAGTCAGTTCATTGAAGTTAATGTACCTTAAAGCAGCTACTACTTTTTCTATGCTTGCACAGCCCTAATCTAGAGTGAGAGTTAGCAATACCTACAAAGCAGCAGGTTGCTTATCTCTGCTGTAGAGTCCGGATCTAGCATATCCTATTGTTACTTAGCAAAATGTATCAGTTTGAAAAACCACAAATCTGCTTTTTAAATGCAGATGCACAACTCACAAACATAACATCAGCTAGTTGGGCGTCATCCAGTCCATTACTTTGTCTAGGTGCTAGTTCAGAATATCAATTGCCTCACCTGTGTTAGGTAAAATGGAGAGGTAGAACTTGGTGTTATTCATGTATTTTGGGCATCTCAGCCTACATCACATCTCCCAGCAGTTCAGTGTAGATGTTAAAGAACATAGGAGATAAAATGGAGCCATGAGGGAATTCATAGCCATAATTCATAAAAATGAATATAATGCATGGATCCTCATGATTCTGATTTTTACACAGCATTCACATGAAACTACCATCAATCAGATCTCTGCACTCACTGAGCCATTACAGTTCTGGCACCAGCTGGTTTTGAAGCCCTGGACTGAGAGGATTCATGGATTTCATGGATTGAAATTTCAAGGATTGCACCGAAATTTCCATTCAAATGAAACCACAATCACATGTAATTAATCTGCATAGAATTAGTCATAAAATAAATGTCAAAAACTAATTTTACAACTGATTATCCTATGATTTGCTTCAAGAAATCCTTTGGAGCTCATTTCCCTACGTTCATTTTGATAACTCTCAAGTATTCTGTGTCCTATCCCATTCCTTAAGGAGCTTGGGCATTTCTCCAAATGGAGAATTACTAACCAGCTAACAAAATCAGTGGTCAAACTATAAACATTTGTTATTAATGTCACCCAAAAATGTACATTTTAGATGGGATCCAACTAAAACTTTCAAATTGCACATAACATCTATCTGTGGCCAATGAATGATTTCTGATAATGTAAAACTGAGGTTTGGACCCTATCAAGTTGTTTTTTTCACTGACTATATCTGCACTAATTGCTTCAAAATGGCGTAAAAATATAGACCCAAGACACTGATCACTGTTTTTTAAGATTCAGAAGCAATTATTAGACGCCAACGAGGAGCAGTGAAGTATAAGGGAAATCCAGCCTGTAGTCTACCTTCAACTAGAGAAGCTCACTAGTGCAGGGGTAGGCAACCTTGGCTCTTTTATGACTGGTGGACTTCAACTCCCAGAATTCCTACCAGTCATAAAAGAGCCAAGGTTGCCTACCCCTGCACTAGTACCATTGAGCCAGCCTATGTTACAGGGTGGTTGTGAGGGAAAACGGAAGGGAATACTATGCAATTTGCCTTCAACTTTAAATCAGAGAGTAGGAGATAAAAATGAAACACTTTTCTAGTATTAGTAAGAAAAACTAGATGAACTGTCCTCTTAGTAGGAATTAAGGCAGGGGTAGTCAACCTTGGCTCTTTTATGACTCGTGGACTTCAATTCCCAGAATTCCTGAGCCAGCTAAGCTGCCTCGGGAATTCTGGGAATTGAAGTCCACGAGTCATAAAAGAGCCAAGGTTGACTACCCCTGAATTAAGGGATCCTTGGTTTTTCAGTAAAGCATCAATTATGTTTGAAAAAAAAAATACCGGCAAGCAAAGATCAGATTCAAGTAGATCCTGTTTTTAGATGCTAGCTTTTCATTTATATACTGCGCTCCCGATCCACAAGAAGTGTTAAAAAGTTAAGAACTAGCTACGTTCCAGCCCGAATTTCATCCAGCCTAGTCCAGGGGTAGGCAACCTCGGCTCTTTTATGACTCATAGCTGGCTCAGGAATTCTGGGAGTTGAAGTCCATGAGTCATAAAAGAGCCGAGGTTGCCTACCCCTGGACTAGTCAAATGCCATTGCGCCACGAGCCGTTGCCAGTTCCTCCCCGGCAGGAGGCGCTATTGCGGTCCCCTCTTCCCCTCTCGGCCGTGACTCGATTTTCGGAGGCTCTTCCGCCGGCCCGACTAGGGAGAAAAAGACAACATGCCCGCTGCTTCCAACGTTGAGCATGCTTTTGCGGGGAATGCTTCGGGCAAATTTGCTTGCCGCTCACCGACCCAGAAAGGAGCAGTATTCCTCGGCGAGGAGCCAGGTGAGTGCGAACCGGTTGAGAAGACCGAACTTTTGCTTCGCCGCCGTTTTCCCGTCTTTTCCCAGAACGCTCAAAGTCGACTTAAGTGGGTAAAGTGGAAATTATAGACCCCCGCGGGTATGCTAGCGACTTGGAGACGGAGATCTCAGCTAGCTTTGCTTCGCCAATGCAATCAAGAAGGAAATTTAGACCTCATTTCCGGTGTTAATGGAAAGGTGCGTTTTTCTTTTCCTCTTCGTCGTCGGGATAGAATGGGGTTCCACTGTTTCTTGCGGAAAACAATAGAGCAGGGGTAAGTCAACCTTGGCTCTTTTATGACTCGTGGACTTCAACTCCCAGAATTCCTGAGCCAGCTTAGCTGGCTCAGGAATTCTGGGAGTTGAAGTCCACGAGTCATAAAAGAGCCAAGGTTGACTACCCCTGCAATAGAGCAAATGCCTGAGTTTTAGGCTTTTTCTTCTCACTTTACCTACAAAAGGCGTAAGTGATGTGAGTGATCCCTGTTGCAAATAATCTGCCCCCGGAATCAAACTATTTTAGAGATATTTGCAGGTTGACATATAACTTGCATACTTGGTATTTATGCATGTCTCTTTCTCTCCCTCTCTCATGCCACATCAGAAAGAGTCCCCATCAGAAACAAAGCTTCAGAAGCAAGCATGCCAGGTTGTTCTCAATCACTTCGAGAAACAGTACTCTAAAGAGTTGGGAGGAACATGGAATTCAGTCAGGTTAATTTCTGTTTTCTTTTCTTCCTACTCTTTCCTCCCGACCCCAATCCATATTTTTTTTAAAAAAATAATTAAAATTAAAATTGTACTTGTCCCCAAAATGCCAAAGCACAAAGCATCTTTGTGTAGTTTTCCTCTTCTCCATAGGCTGCACCGAAGCGTTTAGGAGGGCAGCATAAAGGTTGTATAATATTTGGCATTTATATCCTGCCTTATTTTTGTTCACCCAAACCTGGCTACGCAGTGACTGATCCAACTTCAGGCATTGGTTGAATTTGCACTATTTATTTAACCAGGTGACCTTGTAGTTATAATAATCATCAAATGTGTGCTGCCTTAAGGTTCTGAACAAAACTGGAATATTAATTTAACATATAAATAAAGAAGTTTTAACTTTGGCTTTCTATTATGGAATCCCAGCTTATTAAATTAATTTATTCATTGTGTGAATACAGAAAATGAATTAATTCAATAACTAAGTTAAGTCATATAAAAAGAACTGGTAAATTCCAGGAGAGTTGAATCTTGATCATTTGACCCTTAAACCAACAGTCTAACCACTATGCCAGTACAATGCCTTTCTTCTAAGGTCTTAATGATAAGAAAATAAGTTGTGTAGCAAATGATGAAAGACATGAATTTTTCCTGACTTCAAGGCCACATTTTGCAACTCAAATTCTGCACCTTTCACCTTGTGCATACACATTCAGAGTGGCTTATTCCAGATTAAAAGATGTGCAATATGCTGTCCTGCTTTAATTGCCTTTATATGTAACTGAATCTAGAAATTAATGACCAGTTTAACCTCTCTAATCTTTCAGATACAACTATTCATAGTAACAAATTGTTGAATTCTTATATATCACTTCATACCTGGATTTTTTTTTCTTTCATCTGCAGGGAAATTCTTATAACACCACAGTACTGGCAATATGCAGTCCTCCTTAATAAATTCAGTTGCTCTTCTGAAATGGAGTCTTATTTGTGTTTAAAGAACTATCGCCTCCTTTTCCCAAGACCTTCATCCTCTTTTCCACAATCATTGAAGTGTTACATCAGTGATGCTCCTGGAAGATTCCCTGCTCAGAAACACAGAGATGGACAGTTAAAGCAGTACTACCTGCTAAATGCTGCCTCTCTGCTGGCAGTACTGGCTCTGGAAGTAAAAGATGGAGAAAAAGTGTTGGACATGTGTGCTGCCCCAGGGGGTAAATCAGTAGCTACACTACAATATGCTTGCCCAGGTAAGAAGGAAGGAAAGGAGTCCCTGTGGATTTTACTCTGTTAGTTGTAACCGACTATGGGGGAAGCGCTCATCTCTGTTTCAAGGGCTGTTGAGCCAGCGCTGTTTGAAGATATTTCCACGGTCATGTGGCCAGCATGACGTCACAGAGCGCTGTTTCCTCCCCACCAAAATAGTACCCTTTTGTCTACTCGCATTTGCATGCTTTCGAACTGCTAAGGTAAGCAAAGACAGGAGCTCACCCCATCACATGACGCTTGGTCTCAAACTTGGACTGACGGCTTTCCAGCCGACAAGCCCAGCGTCTTAAACACTGAGCCACTATGCCACCCCAGGTAAACCACTCCATTAGTAAACCCAATAATACATTGTTGGCAAGCTTGTTCCCAAAAACACATTTAACAGTTTATTCAAAGGCATTGATAAGGAATGCTCTCATGGCATTCTTTTTTTCTTGATTTTAGGCTGAAACCGGGAATTAATTTATATTCTAAATATAGTCTTAAGTGCCTTGAGAAAACTGATTTGGTTTTGTGTTTTTTTTTTTTAATCTACCTTTCTTGCATAGGGCTTTTACAGTCAAATGAATATGATAACTTGAGATTCCATTGGTTGAAGCAGACATTAGAATCCTTCATTCCAGAATCTATGATGAGCCTAATTACTGTTTCTCCTAATGATGGAAGAGAAATAGGAAATCTTCAGCCTGAAAAGTTTGATAAGGTATGTCTATATTGGCTAATAATGTTATGAAGGCTATGTTTTTCTCTTATCTCTAGTTAACTTATCTAATTAAAGCATATCATAGTGATAGCTCTTTCTTTGTACAGAATACAGAAAAAATGCATTTTTATTTTTTGTTCAGAAATATACCATTGGTTTTCTTTGGGTCTCCTCTCCAAGAAGAATAAGTTAACAGAACATAGAATAACAGGGTTCGAAGGGACCTTGGATGTCTTCTAGTCCAACCCCCTTGCTGTAGGAGACCCTATACCCTTTCGGACAAATGGTTGTCCAATTCTCTTCTTGAAAACCTCCACAGATGGAGCAACCCCGCTTCCGGAGGCAAGCCATTCCACTATTTAATTATTCTCTCTGTCAGGAAACTTCTCCTTAATTCTAGGTTGGATCTTTTTAATAATCTACCCATTGCTTCTTGTCCTGCCATCAGGTGTTTTGGAGAAGTCTTTAGACTAGACAAACCAAATTCATCATAAGGTTTAGCCTCTAATAACCCCTATCATCTTTTTTGCTCTTCTCTGCACTCTTTCTAGAGTCTCAACATCTTTTTTATATTGTGGTGACAAGAATTGAACACAGTATTCCAAGTATGGTCTTACAAGTTCAGTATGAAATGGCATTATCACTTCTCATGATCTTGATACTATCCCTCTGTTGATGCAGCCAAGGACTGCATTGGCTTTTTTGCAGTTACAGATAATAATACAATAACAGAATTATTCAAGGCTGGTACTTGGAGATTTAGTGGCCTGGAAGTCCCATAGTCCAGATTCCTGCTTAATGCAGGGCTAGCAATTAAAATGTAATTATAAACAAAATTTAAGAATAGCCAAAGAGTATTCTGTGTGTGTCCATGAATGCATGTACGTATGTTTCTGTCTAGAGTGGGAGACATACCTACATCCATCTGGTATCCTGAGAATTCAGGCGTGCAGAATACACTGCATATGCTTCCTAAGTGGTGAGTTGTGAGTAAATCACTGACATAGAATTGTGTGAGCTTGGTTGGAATAAATTTGGCCTTTGTAATACAATAGTCATAATGTACCCATATTGTCAGGCATATTTCTTCCATTAGCAGGGAATGCTGCAGTTAACTTTAAAAAACTTAGAAATAAGTGAAATAAACTAGAATCAAAGTTAAATAATTGCCAGAAGGGAAAGTATGAAATGATGTTAAAAGATAGATTAGTATTCCAACAGAATAAGTGGAAATTGTTACAGAATGCCAGTGATAAGTGTGGGGACATTATGAATGCATGCATGAGAAACATCCTTAAAAGCATAATGAAATAAATGATGAATCTATGAGAAAAATGCATATAAGAGAATGATTAATGCAAAAAAATGAGAAAAATGTATAATATATGGTTAATGCATCAAGCCTAGGGACTTTAGAGAATTGGTGAACTAGTGAGGTAGCACTGTATTCGCCTATTTAGCTGTGTTTTATAGTTCTTAATGTTTTTAATAATGATTGTTATTTGTAGAGAGGGGTTTTTTTTGGTATGCTGCCCAAAGTCATTTGTTTATATGGGTAGCTACATAAATTTGAAAAATAAAGTCTTTATAGAAAAAAACAGAGCTGAAAAGATGTAAGAACAAGCAAGGAAAGGTTAAAGGAGAGAAAATGCAGATTGATTACAGTGGAAATAAAACTGGAAGTGGATAAAATGGTTTGCACAAGAAACCTTCAATAGCGAGAACGGAATTAAAAGTAAAAGTGATGAAATCATTTGGGATGAAGTCAAAGTGAAGAAACGCTGAAAGAATGTTTTAGAGATTCATAGGGGAATGACAGTGATGTATTGAATGTAGAATTGAAATGAATGGTCTAAAAATTAATGCCCTTGATTGTGGAACACCCTTCCACCTGAGATCTGGCAGGCTGCTATCCTCCTAGACTGCTGGAAACCAAGAGCAAACTTTTCCCGCAAGCCTTGGGGTAGAGTAGGGATGGAGCCTAGAAAAGCTTTAATGTTGATAAATGCTTTTTCTTTGGGGTGCCAGAAGCTTTTGTTAATAACCTTTATTAAAAATTTGGATTTTTAAGATTCTGTGAGCTACCCAAGATTATGGCACCAAAGCTGGATAGCTACAGAAGACTTCTAAATAAAATAAAATATGAGATTGTACATGCTGTTAGGTTGAACGGCGGAGTGTGAACATTTGCATAAGTTGAAAGTTGGTTGCTAAGTATTAATGTATGGTGGGACGAAAACATGTATGAGAATAAATGAAATGGTTTGGTTTTGAATTAGGAATGTGCGTGTATGATTCTCATTACTTTTTTATGTATTTATGGACAAATGCAGAAGCTTATGATGTTATAGGTGTAGTGTACTTTTGGGTACAGATGATGCTGTGCGGTTGGCTAAGAATCAAAATGATTAATACTGAATAGCAGACATTATAGGAAGGGACTCTGATATCAAATATCAGACAGAAGTAAAGGTGGTAGAATCTGTTCCAGCTAACAAAATTTATTAAAAACTGTAGCTCGTGAAAGTGTATCCTTTCAATAAAATTTATTAGTTAGAAAAAGTAATTTCAGACTCCTAGAAAATGCTAGATTGTATAATGTGTCAAGGGGTCTAAGTCTGATAATGAATATATCATACACCAGGGTGGTTGTATTTGACAAGGAAAATGGTGTTTATAATTATACATATATGTATGTCATCCTGTGACAGTTTGCAACAGGACATTAAACTTCAGGAGCTTCAGGATCTAACTGGACCTTCTTTGATAGAGATGGGCAGTTCAGAAATGTGAAAAATAATAAATAAAAATGCTATAAAGCAATATAAGCAATAATAGCAGTGAAAAATATTCATATACTGTACATATAATCCAACCCAGCAATCTAAAACAAAGATTGTCAGTAACAATTTATTACATGATAACTGATTTTAGTAAAATTATTGTATACTCAAAAGTGCATGTAAGGGTAAACGTACTGCCCACAATGGAGGAATGGCTGATGAAGATGATGGAATTTGCAGAAATGACTAAATGGACTTCTTTGATTATAGAAAAGACAATATCTGTATTTGTTGCTGACTGGAAACCCTTTATAGATTTCTTGCATGAAGCAGAAAAAAAAACAAACTTTTGATTTATGATTTTAATGATTAGAAAACATTAGACATATGAAACACTGAGCTTTTTATTATAAGAATATAGTTCAGATTTTATAATCATACTTGTATTTGCTGCAAAGGATTTCTGTTTCTGTTTTATCTTTTTGTACTTTAGTCTTTTCATTTTCCCTTTTCTTTCTTTACTTGGTATTAATTTCTGATAGCTTTTATCTTCTTAAAATCTTTACTAAACTTTATACCCAAAAAGTAGTAATTTGCTAATTAAGAAAGAAGCATATACTTAAAAAGTGCACTAAGTTTAGTATTCCAACCACTTTTACCCATTACGGTAAACTCTTTTGGAAGCTTTTATGTTATAGGCTATGACATAGTAAAAAGTATTTTGAAGCTATTTTATATATTCATAAGTATTTGCTCAAGAAGAGGTTAATGCCGTCTTTCTTTTATACAGACTATACATATGGCTTGGAATGCAAAAGGTTGTTTTTTTAATGTATAAGTGAGTAAGTATGTTATATCATATATAATATTTTTCATAACCTTTTGCTACCTTTGGGAAAATTTAGCTTTGTTAAGAGAAAATTAAAGGAGAATTTTTATAGCATTTATACATTTTTTAATTACTCTATGTCATAGAAGAAGATTAAGATCTGTTTATTATTCCCGGCCGTAGAGCTTAATGGGCTTAAGTTCCAGGAAGACAATATCCTACTGAATGTTGAAAAACTTCCTAACAACAAGAGCAGTGTCACAGTAGGACCAATTACTCAATTGTTCAAATGATAGCCATTTGTAAGAAATGTCTTTGGTTAAACTAACTAGTCCATTTTAACTCCATGATTATGTTTTGTGACTCTACTAAAGCTATTTTTCTGTTGTTGTCATTGATTATTCAGATCCTAGTGGATGCTCCTTGCTCAAATGATAGAAGTTGGTTATTCTCTTCTGATACCCAGCAGGCTAATCTGCGCTTAGCACAAAGGAAGCTATTATCTGGTGTACAGATACAACTGCTCAGGTAAAAATTGAAAACAAAAAGGGACTGCTCATTCCCAGAATGAAGTACGTGCTGAATCATATTCTGAAACTCTACATCTCCTTGACCTATGTATTATCCTCTCCATATGTAGTCACACTGAGCCAGTCATTGTTCCAAAAAGCATGGAGCTACACTGCTTTCTCCTAGTAATTACCATAGTGTAAAGAGAGCACCATTCAAGTTTTCCTGCTGAGTTCTTTCACATTTGTAACTAGGACATTCCCAAAGGGTGGAGGAAGGGAAAACATCAGACATCCATATCTGAGTTTTAATGTACTTTGAACAACAGGAACAGATCAATGCCTGGTATCCTTTTTAAAAACACCTTAAAGAAAAAAAACATTTGTAATTCTTAAATTGTAGTAAATAAGTAAAAGTTGTGAATACCAAGTGTCTGTTAATCTATACATTTGAGTGAAGAAAGCAATATAGATAATCCTTGACATACGACAGTGGTAGCAAACCTATGGCACGGGTGCCAGAGGCGGCACTCAGAGCCCTCTCTGTGGGCACGTGTGCTATCGCCCCAGTCCTAGGCCTTCAGCTGGGTTTTATAAAACCTTTTCGCTTTAGGCCTCCGCCGCCATGTGCAAAAAAAAAAAAAAAGGTTCAATCAGTCAATTTCAACTTCTCGCGGGAAAAAAAAAGATCTTGCAAAGTTGGAATTGATTGATTGAACTTTTTAGTCCCACCCAGTTTGCCGTTACCACCGCAGCCACGCCCACCCAATGGGCCACGCCTACCCAATTGGCCACACCCACCCGGCACTCGACGATGCATAAGTGGGTTTTGGGTTGCAGTTTGGGCACTCAGTCTCTAAAAGGTTCGCCATCACTGACATACAATCTATGAACTTATGATTGTTACAAGTTACTCGACCCTGAATCAGTGGTGGTTACAACTGTCCTCAGAGTTCCAGTCATCCCAGAACTCCAATGGTCACGTGATCACAGCCTGGATGCTTAGCTACCTGTTCACACTTACGACTGGTTGTCAAGTGTCACGTGATCACCATTTACACGCTCTCTCTGACCCTCCCCTTGCATATCTCCTCGCCTAGTTTCCCATTTGGCAGCAGCCACTTACCTGCCTGCAGCCCTGAGACTTGCAACTTCCTGCTGACTGCCACACTGATTTTGGTTGTGGGAAGTCAGCAGGAAGTTGCTTTGCCTCACAATTGTTGGATTCAGTTAACAATGGCAACTGAGATTTCAAGGATTGCAATCGCTAAGCAATATGGTTACACTTTATGACTCCATTGTTTAGCGGCATAAATTCTAGTCCCAGTTGCTGTCACAAGTTAAGTAAGTTAGAAGGATCTAGGCCAGCTTTTGTCCCTAACCTATTTCTCTTCCTATGTATTGTATTACAATTCTCAGAACTCCTAGTTAGCAGTATGGTCAGGGAATTAAAAATCCAATACACCAGGATGCCATCAGTAGACAATGTGGATTCAGATATTAGCATAGGATGGTAGCAGCGCTGGCCATTAATAGGTGCCCTGTGATGGAACTTAAATAGCGGCAGCACTATTTAATCTTATCAGCCTTCAATATTGGCAACCATAATATTTTTCTGAATGGCCTGCAAGGATTAGAGATTCCAGGCACTGTTCTGCTTTCCCACCTGGGCAAGTCAATTCAGTCAGTTTAACAAAAGGAAAGAGGTTGTCTCAGGACTTAGTTCTCTCTCTGGTTCTGTTTAAGATAAAGCTGCTGAGAGAGATCATCTGCCAGTTCAAATTGAGATGTTATAAATATAAGATAAAGCCCAGTTATATATTTCTACCTAAGGCCAAATTGATAATTTAATTTGGGTATTTGGCTTTACCTAGAGGGCTAGTTCATTGAGGGGATGCAATCCATAAGCAAATAAAAATGAATTATAAATTACATTCTCTAGCAGAGAAGCACACACAAACACACACACACACACACACACACACACACACACACACACTGCACATTATTGTTATCAGAATTTTCTTTTTCTCCATAGTATTATGCAATGGGCAGTGTCTGGGAGACATGTTTTTAAATGTGCAGTATGTATAAGGCTAATTATTATTTATAAGCTTCACATATGAAGAATTGTTTGAGTTAGACTCTATTCTCTTCCCCATCCTAATGGGAAAATTATTTGTCCCTATCTTCAGCATAAGATTCAATATTTCATTTTCAATTTCTATTTAAACCAACTATAGTTCCTTTTAGCTATAGTTGGAGTCCTGATCACAACTTAATTTATCAAAATAAAAATGAACGTTTTTGCTGTCTTTGGTTCGAAGTACTAGCCATGTTATAAAGGCGAATAAAGTGTCAGTTTTATATAAACGAATCCCTTGTCACTAAAGAAGAGCCAGTTGAAAGCAGTGCGATGGGCATAGCATCCCTGAAGGTTGCCCAGCTGCTACATAACTGTTATGTTTTTAAACACCTTTGTGGGGGGGGGAATCTAGCTACCTATCAGAATAGAATTCAAAAGAAGGAAAAGGCAGGGTTGTTTTCTTGAGGAATGAACACCTTGGAGCAGAGAAAATGATAGATCAGAGGTGTAATTTCTCAGAAGCCTTGGATGATGTTTCCTTAATGTCTTCAAGGAATCCACCAAATTATAAAAAAATAATATTATTGAATTATTTGGTGCCTATTAGTTAATTGAGATATCTAATTATTAATTAAGATAGCCAGTTGGGTGTAGTTATTAAGGCAGCACGCTCAAAACAAGGAAATTGAGTTCTAGTCTCACTTTAGGCAAAAAACCAACTAGGGGGAGATGTCATTCTCTCTCAGCCCTAGGAAGAAGGTACTGCAATGGCGGCCACTTCTGAAATTTTGCCAAAAATAATAATTATAATCCTGCAGGACTTGTCCAGGCAGTTGCAAAGAATCAACACTGACTTGAAGGCATTAAACAAAAAAAACCCAATGAATTAAAATTAAAGTTTCTTCTTTCTAGATCCACTCTTTTGTTCTGATTACTTTTTGGAGTAGATTACTTCAAGGGCTCAATGCAGTCCTTGGCAAAACACACAGACACACAGAGACATTTTGTACCCTTCCTTTGACTTGACTTCTTTTATTCATTGGAACATTTGTAACCATAGGTTTTAACAAAATTAAATTCTCTTAGATCCAGTACTATTGTCCTCTTCACACAGTAAGCTTGACAGAGTCATGAGAGACGCAGTGAATCAGCTATGCAAAAAGTGAGAAAAGGGATATATTGACTAGACTGCTAGATGTTAAATTTAGCTTTAAGCAGGCATAGAGTTGATTTAAATGGGAACTGATACTGAAAGGTTAACTAGCACTTATCTTTTCTAAGATAGCCCTATAAAAACAAGGTCTTTCTTTTCTCTGTTGCCGTTCTTTTTTCTATTTCTCCATAGCAACACTTGTTGAGAGACAGAGCAATGAGATACACTTAGAAATTAGTAAAGTAACAGCAACAGCAACAGCACTTAGACTTATATACCGCTTCATAGGGCTATACCGCCCCTTTAAGTGGTTTACAGAGTCAGCATATTACCTCCAACAATTTATATACCACCCCATAGTGTTTTATAGCACTTTCTGAGAGATTTACAAATGTCAGCGTATTGCCCCCAACAATTTGATTCCTCATTTTACCAATCTCGGAAGGATGCAAGGCTAAGTCAACCTTGAGCCAGTGAGGATCGAACTCCTAGCAGTGAACTGAATTAGTCTGTAATTCTAATCACTGTGCCACCATGGTCCTAGGGAAAAGTCTTCCTCCTACCACCACCACCCCACACCTGTAATGTCAACATTGCAGTTGAAAGACCGGACCATCTCATGTGTGTTATTGGTGCACATAGAGGAGCCACTTGGCTAGGCAGAATCATTTGTTTTATGCAGAGAGGGCCAGTGGGAATTGTTCAAGAGCTGCCTTTCTTTTCAGAAAGGTTTGCATAGAAATCCATCTGAATTTTACAAAGTAGGGCTGTTCTTCCTTAATTAGCACTGCAATTTTGCAAAACATTATTTGGTCATTGCTAACCATCTCTGCATTCTGCATCATAGAGTCTAAATAGTATCTGTACCTCTTAAACCTGTTAAAATTCAAAATTTTGAAAGAAGAGCATTCAGTTTCCTATCATATTCGCATTTCACATGGTGTCTGTATAAATGGGGTATAGTATCCTCCCCTCAGTCTGACTGTGAGGTCACACGTCAAACTATAGATCACATAGTGACCGATTGTAAGCTGAGGGCATATCTCGATCCAGTATCTGGTTTTATTTTTTAATATAAATGATGTTGCACTTCAATGGTAGATGGACTAGACCAGGGCTTTTTAACCTTTTCACCGATTGTATCACTTTTAGGATATGGCAGTATTTGAGTATCCCCTAGCAAGATGTCAAAAACTTGATGACCCAAAAAAAAGGAAAAAGGTGATAAAGTACAGATAGTTCTCGACTTACAACAATTCACCTAGTGACTGTTCTAAATTACAATGGCATTGAAGTGACTTATGACCATTTTTCACACTAATGACCGTTGCAGCATCCCCAGGGTCATGTGATTTATATTTGGATGCTTGGCAACTGATTCATATTTATGATTGTGACAGTATCGCAGGGTCATGTGATCCCTTTTTGCAACCTTTTGACAAGAAAAGTCAATAGCAGGGCTGCTGCTGGCCAAGTGCTAAGGTGGGACGGGACTTCCTTCAGACCCTCCCTCCCTTTCATTCCAATCTCCCTCCCTCTTCTCTTCCTTCCTGTTTCCCTCCCTCCTTTCCTTCCTCCCTCTTTCTCATTCCCTTCTTCCTTCTGAAGGAAGAATTTGAACACACCCCCCCAGTATTTTCCCTCTTCCATATATTTATCAAATAAGGAAAAGCCTCAAGAGACAGAAAAGACACGCCGCTGAGGGAACTAGTTTAAAACGGCGCATTCCCCTTTAAGAATTAGCTACTGGCTAGAAAGGAAAATTATGGAGCCGGTGGCA